TCATTTGAATTTTTATTTGGTATCGTAGACTAGTTCTCAATTAGAATTTCCTCACAATAGACTAATCAAGTCTAATCTACTTCAAAATGATAGCTATGCGTTAATATTTTATTAATCGTGCTTGAGATTCTTGCCCTTTTGTTCAAGAAAGTGGTGACGTATTGGACCGGTTTGTATTATCTTAACCCTTGTATGAATTTGTAACATTAGCATTGTTATTTGACTAATTCATGCATATCTTCTTGTTAGATCTTCACAGGTAGGAGGCTTTACCAAAGATAATAAACAAAGAAAAAATTACATTTGTAACCACCTAACTATACTCCTTTCTAACAATGTCTACTTAAGTATCACGTTTTGTTAAACGCCGTGAATTTTTTAATTTATATCTTAAAAGGATTAAAAAATTTCATTGCGTGCCCTCAATCATATAAAAATTTGGCTATATATATATATATATTTTGTTTTAATAATTTTGATTACAAAATTGTCATGTAAAATAATATAAATTGAATAATATATAGATCTTTGTGTTAAAAAAAAAAAGGAATTTGATAAAAATGTAACACAACGGACGCTTGTTTGGGCTCACATTTCTACTTGTTTTTTTATGGGTTGAGAGTGTAATGACTAATGAGAAATTTTTTAATTTTTTAAAGTGTAAAATAAAAATGTATTGATATTTTAGTGTTCCAAAGTGCTATTCACCCTTTATTATATTGCACTCTAAACTATGATATATGGGTTCATATTATTACAATTATGTATATCTATTATGAGTTATGTGAAATTTTGTGTCAATTTACCTCCACACACTATGTTTTGCTTTAACTTTGTCACAAAGATGAAAAAGCTTAACAAAAAGAGATGCTTGTTAAGTTACAATTAGTAGACAATATTGTGTCACTTTACCACAAGGTCATATGATTTGAGTTTGATTTGCTATGATGCTCAATTACAAGGTAAATTTCTTGTGACAACGAGGGTTGATCCAATTGGGGGTTAGAACTTTTTACCCTAGACGACTAGTTAAATCTCTCATTTCTTAAAACGATCGAAATCATTGCTTCAGAGAACGTAGTTTGAAAACAAATAGATTTTTTTCACTTTTAAAAAAATCACGGAAAAAGGAAAGAATTAGGTGATTCTCAACTAAAGTTTTTGACTAATTCATAGGGGTGTCAATTTTTGACTCAAACACGAACCCGATTCGAACCGAACCCAAAAATAACACAATTAATTGACACGAGAAATAAATGGGTCAAATTTAGATTTGACACGAATAACACGATTAATAGGTACAGTGGATAGAAAATAATTATTTAATGACTATTATAGATAGAAAATAAGAATTTTATAATTTTTTAAATAGTATTATATTAGTTGTTGTCAAATTAAATAATTTTTTATTAACAAGAATATTTATACGAACCCAACACGTACCGAAAGTGATATGACATAAAAATAAAACGATCGAAAGTGACACAACACGAAACTGATACGACACGACACGATTGACAATCCTACTAATTCATATAAGCTTCGTCCTGTTCAACAATTTGGCATCAACATCCACCTTCTCTTCCACAACTGCGCAAAGAGAGAAGAATGTAAATTAATTCAAACAGTTAAAGGGGTGATATGGAAAACCTACTTTTAAAGGAAAAAATGTGAGATAGGAAGATGCAAAGTGTTATTTATTACTGATAAACAAAGGAATCTTTTGACAACAAGAAACCCCAATTGCAATCATCTGAATTATAGCTCCAATAAAGAAGAACAAAACAAACTGTTTCTTTATCATGTTGGAGGGAGTGTTACGGTATCGAAATACATTTGTTGTTATTATATCTTTATTTTTTAGTCAATAAAAATGCATCACTTCCGCATTTTTATTATTATTTTTTATTTTTTATATCAATAATTGTAAATCATTTAATTTAAAAATCAAAAATTTAAATTTTTTTTTGATATTATACCAAAGAATGACTTTAGCTTTACCCCATGTTGGAAACTACACACGTATAGTTCAACGGTCAGGAGTGTTCAGGTTATTTTATACGTACTTTGACTAATTTCTTTTTCAATGTAGTTAAATGCAACTCATTCACATCAGGACTAGTGTATTCACGAAAAATAAATCATTTACAACCAAGTCTTAAAGAGTTGAACAAATTCAAATTCAGAATTTCTGAATTTACAACTTATATTATATTTTTCGGCCAACAATATATTGATACGTCCAACTTATATGCCATCTCCGCACACCATAAATGAAGTTCAATATGTCCCAAAAAAAAAAAGCAAGATAAATATAAACACGACACGTAAGTCAAGATTTGTAATATTATCGCTCACCAAACATAGTCATGCCTTGATTCTTGAAAAACATTGTAAAATAATATAGATAAGAGTCTGTTATTATTTACTGTGAGGATACAAGACAGGAGACAGATTTATAAGTTGTGAATTTCATTTAAATTTATTTTTTATTTTAGTAAAATTAACGAAAATTATAACAGAAAAGATGTCATTGCGGTGACGTAATAGAAAAAGGAAATAATTCAACTGACAAAATCATAGGATAAGTCGTAGTTCAAATAGTAAACCGAAATCAAAGAAAAACAATAAATAGTAGACTACCACCCATTCTTTAGAATGGAGGATGTTTGTAATAAAAATGTGTGGCTATGCAGCTCTACCAATTTAATCACACACGTATCCATCATACCAATCATTTTTAACCAAAAAAGCGTGGAAAATTGCACCGAAAATGACCAAGGTTCAATGTCCAAATAATGGTTGCTTGTGTTGTTTGTGCCCCACCACCACCACAGAGCCAAAAATGAAAAAGACATATACCTCCTAATGGGCCAAAGTGTCGGCCTCTCAATTACCCTATAAATTGACGTCAATAGATATCTCAAGTTGTAAGAATGGGCGAATTTTTAATAAAGACGTTTTGAATTTGAATATTGTCAATTTTTTGGGGTTCAGTTCTACTTTCAGTATAGATGATTTGTCTTTGATCGGATCGAGAAAATGTTTAATTGATGTGCGCATAAATTGATTCAGACACCCCTAACCGTTGAACTAAAACAAAACAAAACAAAAAAAAAAATCATATAATTGGCCTTCATTCCAATGACGAATCATATTCCAATTCTTGTAAAACATTCTCCAAAAAAGAAAAATGATTGGTCTTAGAGTCATTTTCAAAGCACTCACAAGAAGAGTTTGGTACCATTATCTAGTTTGTATTTTTTTTTTAATTTATTATAATTCTCCAAATTTAATAGCATATACAATAATACATAGATATTTATACTACTTATATGACATATATAATAGTCAATTTAGGAGAGAAAGAGAGAGTACATGAGAAACATTTTATTTCCAAATACTAAATCCTTCTAATTTTGAATTATTGAATACAAATGTATTAGTCTATGCCAATTCAATTGTTCTTGTAACCTATATAACTATTACTATCATTTTTAATAATCAAGTCACATTTTAATTTTTCACCATATTTATTTAGTTATATCACACTTAATTTTTTAAAAATATTAATTTAGCATATTACTGGAATTTTTTTTAGTAATTTAAAAGTGGGGAGTAGGGGTTGAGGTGGAGGTCATACCGTCCTAAAAGTGAAAATGGACAAAAAATAATTAAATTTATTGCATTTGACGAGACTAATGTACAAATAAGTATGTTCATATCAGATAACTCGGATTAAACTCAGCCCACTTGATCAGAAGTGTTCGGCCCAACTTACGTGCACGTTGATTAATTTCCTCCTCTAATCAGGTCAAAGACAGATCATTCACGTGTGAAATTCGATCCACTTTTAACATCCACATGATTGTAGGAATTTTAATAGGCTTAGACACAAACTCTAACAATATAAATAAAGAAAAATAATGCCGAAAATATATCTAAGAATTAGTTACTCTATGTCTCTCAACGATATTATTTTATTATATTTATTATTATTTTATCCTTATCTTAACAAAAAATAATTATCATGTATTATAATCTTAACTAATTTTATGGGTTAATTTAGTGGTAGATTGACCATCCAAATTTTTTTTTTTGGGTTTAACAATAAGAGGTGTGCGAGACAATTTATGCGCATTTCAATAAATTTCCTCTTCGTTCAGATCAAAATAACCTAATAAAATCTAAACAACACAAAATGATTCCAAATTTTTACGGTGTATATACTTTTTGAGGCTACCGTCATCAAATTTACTCTTTCAACATGCAAAAACGACTTTATACGAGGTTTAATATTAGTGCCAGTGCTGTTCAAAATTCCGTCCATCTGACCCGTTCCACATCATTCCTACTCAATTATCGGAATTCTGCAAAATTTTGGTCGACCAATGAAAGAAATTTTAATATTCTACAAAATCGCATGCAACAATACAGAATACCTATAAAAACTCTACATTCTTATCCAATCAGTACATATATTTAAAGATGAGTTCATTTCGTATGCCCATATTATCAGATTTATTATGTTTTATTTAGCGTTATTAGTTTATTGTGTTGATTTACATATTGTTATATTATGTTTTAATAATCTAATTGTAAAAGTAACTCAAAGATTTAGTAATTGAGTTATTAAAATGATTCTAAAATTAATAATTTAAAAATTAAAAATATGTGAGATATTCTGAATTTTTAACCCAACTTCTTAGTCGATTTTTTGGACGGTATTTGACTTAGAACATTACCCTCAATCGAGTTAGAGCGATCAAAAAATTGACCTTCTATAATTTACCGGTTCAAAAGATGAAATGCTATAATTGTTACCCGTGGTCTCAAGTAAACAAACCTAATCTGTGCCGAGAATATTGGGGTAGCATGAGACCTTAAAAAAAAATCTTAACTTAAAAAAAAAAAAAACCTCGGGGAGCTACAGTTGCGGGTGGTAGATTGCGGATGTCAGTAAAAGTTTAATCTATTAAGAGTGGCGAGTCCTCTTTAATCAGACGGAAGCTTCCTAGAAACAACCGTCGCTAGAAAATTGCAAATCCGGTGGTTAAACTCCAAACTAGACTCAACGTACCACGTTATGCCCACTGGTCCACTTCAAATCAAACAAGAAAGCTTTTGGGTGTCTACCCACCTTCAAGACTTCAGGTCTTGTCTCTCTCTTTCCCTCTCTCTCTCGAGCAATCTAGCTAAGGCTGAACTCCTCTTAAACAACGTAAGAAAATCATTGATGTGCAAAAATACCGACTTATTATTTTGTGCTGTATTTTGTTATTTCTGATGGGATTGCCTTGTTGTTGGGTTACCCTTTTTATCTGAATTTCAATCTTTATCCTTTTTTGAGATTAGCTTGTTTTTCTTTGTTGTTTCTTTTTCGTTTAGCTTTTTAGAATTGCAATGATGTGTTGAAGAAGGAATGAGAAAATATGCATTTGTTTATTTTTATTATTATTTTTTTTGCGTTTTTGGGCTGTGAAAGTTCATATCTGGAATTGCTATGATTGATGATTTCAAAGAAAACACTTCTGAGTCAGTTCTATAATGGGTGTATCAACCATATTTTATTGAAGTATATAAAAGGAGCCCATGCCATCATAATCGAAATCTACAAATTACTCCTAAAATTCTTTCCAACAGGACCCAAACCTGTCATGTGTTTCTCAAAGATCCCCCAACTTTTAATCTTGTAATTAGTTTTGTGTCGTGTTTTTTTACAATCATTATTGAATTTGGATAGCTATGGTGTGACAATTCTGCATACTTGTCACCATGGCTGGATATGCCTACATGATTTTTCAATTCTACTTTTTTGGATTTTGTTAGAAAATCTTATTAGAAACTGTTGTCAACATTGTGCTAGTTGTGTATTGCACAAAGAAGCATATTTTAGAATTCATTTTAATGTAAGATAATTGGGATAATGTGTTGTGTTGAGCTTAGCCGAGCCCAAATGATTGGGACAAGGCGTGGTTTGGTTTGGTGTTGTGTTGAGTTTCGGGTTTTAGTACCAAAAGTAGGCTTTGTGTGGGAAGTGTACCTGGGTTTTTAGTGTTTAGTTCTGGTTTGGTCTTTGTTGAGTTGGGTTGAGTTGAGTTTCTGGTTTGATGTTTTGTTTTCTGTAGCGCATGAATTATCTGTTTATGAAGGAAAGATATATCATTTGTTTCTGTTGCAGAATTTTCTTAAGTTCATATAGTTCATGGGTGGCAGAAGTTCAAAAAGGGCTACCACGGGTAGGTATTCATCTGTTGGGTCTAGTTCATATTCATGGGGTCAACATGGATACCCACAGTCACCATATGGTCAACCAAGTCAAGGCTATGTGCCACCGCCTCCACCTCAAAGCTACGGTGGTCATGCCCCTGAGTTGAAGAGGAAGCTTGAAAGGAAATACTCGAGGATTGATGATAACTACACCAGTGTAGATCAGGTAGGCTACCCTTTTGTATATTTTTGAACGGAAGGTAAGATTGCTGCAAGTTTGTTGGACATCAGGACCTTCATCATTCTCTGTCACCATGTAAACAACTTACACCCACTGGGAATTTTCTCTAAGGATCTGTTTCATGCTGAAAATAATTAATGTCAGTGGTGAAGCTGTTGTGATGCAAGCATCATTCATGTTGTGTTCTACGAATTGAAGGAATAGATTTCTCATTGGGATAAAGAGTATCGAGTTTGAATTGTTTACTTGAGTATAGTGGTCACAAATGCAGCCATCATGGTATCTACTAATGCTCCACATATTCAGTTTTGTCAGACTGGTTTTGGTTACTGTTAACCCATTGTGCTAAGTTGCATATAAAAATGTGTAATTCTATATTTGAAACAAGGACATTTGGTTGTCTGTTTCTGACATCCCATTATTTAAGCGTCTAATTGTAATGTAATGTTCAACTAAGGTCAGAGTTGGTGATTGAGATGGTAATTGATTTAACGGAATGTTTGGCACTGATGACTTGGTTTGTTTGCTATGGACATCTCAAATTAAATTGATATGTAGATGTGTATAAATTGTATCGTGTGGCAATTGATGTTAATATGTATTCACTGTTTCTTCATTTCTCTGTTGGGATAAGCTTATGGAGACATGTTGTATCAACTTTTTTTTACTTCTACCTTACTGATTCTTTGTTTGTCATGAAAGCAATTCTTTTTGGGGGTTTTGGGCCTTGCCATGGTTGTTGATTGATTTCACATCGTTGAGGTAGCTGTATACATGTATAAAGTTATCTGCAGAAGAATCGGTGGATACGAATGCTAACAGAGTAGAGCATGTTCAGATTTGTTAGGAAAATGCAAAAAAGAAAAAAAATTATTTATGACTGATTTTAGTAATTCTAGATTAGAAGATCAGACATGTTTCTTGTCCTATGTAATGCCCCTTTCTGTTAGCTGTTGAACTAATGGAGTTCAATGTTGTACATTCTATTGGTGTATGTGTCTCTAGCATTGTCAATTTTTAGACCCACTTCTTATTTATTGATCGTGCTTTCCTTACGTGTCAATATTCTAAGTACTTTCCATTAGTTAATACTCTAGCCCAGTTCACTGCTTTTGCCACAGGTTACTGATGCCTTGGCGCGTGCTGGTCTTGAATCTTCGAATCTGATTGTTGGAATTGATTTCACCAAGAGCAATGAATGGACAGGTTTGATCTCATATAGATGCCTTTATGCAAGATATGGTGGATCATATTTAATTTTGGTTGTTATTAGGTGCCAGGTCATTTCACCGAAGAAGTTTGCATCACATTGGAGATGGTCAGAATCCCTATGAACAAGCAATATCAATTATTGGACGAACTTTATCTAAATTTGACGAGGATAACTTGATACCTTGTTTTGGATTTGGAGATGGTATTTTCGCCCGATTTTTGTGTATTACTTAAGATTTTAGACTCTGGTTGATCGAGGTCTTATGTGGTTCTAACATTGGCAGCCTCAACACATGACCAAGAAGTCTTCAGTTTCCATCCGGATGAGAGATTTTGTGATGGATTTGAGGAAGTGTTGAGCCGATATAGGGAATTAGTCCCTCATCTACGCCTTGCAGGTTGCAATTCCTCTCATTTTTTTCTTCATTCTTCTTTTTTATGCTGGTTTTTGCAGCTTATAATGGTTCTTGTGTCCCTACTCCCTTCTTTGCTGCAAACAGGACCAACATCATTTGCCCCTATCATCGAGATGGCCATCACTATTGTTGAGGAAAGCCGTGGCCAGTACCATGTTTTACTGATTATTGCTGATGGGCAGGTATGTCATATGTGAAGTTGTAGGTCAATAGCGAAATATTATTTTTAACACATTCAGTGTTTTGAATTGTGAGAAAATTTTTAATAGGATATCACTTATGGTACAAACTGCATTGTTTTCTCATTCTAAGGTCTGCAAAATTAGGTGATGCAGAAATTAGTGTTTTATGATGGAACTACAGGATTAAAAGTGGGGCAGAAATATCTGGAATGTCTTGCTTACAATGTTGGTGCTTAAATAAGATCCTTGTAATCATTTGATTGCTGCTAATTGGCTACCTGCTGGTCCTGCTAATGTGGGATGCTGGTTGGAGTGGACTCTATAAAAACATAGGGCGTGTTTGGATTGCATCTCAAAAAAAAGTATCCGAAAATAATTTTTGGAAAGAGTTTTGAGAAAGTGTGTTTTGAAATTTTTATATTGCAAAAACTGTTTGGTTGTATGTTTTTGAAAATAATTTTAAAGGACAGAAAATAGTAAAACTTGTTTGGATAATGATACCAATTTCCTCTCTCTCTCTCTTTCTCTCCATTATCTCCTCTCAATCTCCACACAAACTCACACAGCAAGCACACACACACACTCGCACAGCAAACACACCCACACACTTGCACAACAAACACACCCACACACTCACACTCGCCCAACAAACCCACACACATTGCACACATTGCACAATACACACACACACACATACATATATATATATATATGTTCAGATCTGTATATATTCACAGCTGAATTCAGTAGTGAGGGCGAGTTGCGAGAGAGAGTGAGAGAGAGACCTGCACAGTAAACGCTAGAAAGACGATTAACTTGTTAAACTTAGCTAAATATCAGGTTGTCAGAAAGATAATGAGTTACTAGAAGGTAGGGTTTTTTTATTTTGAGGGGGGGGGGGCAGAGAGAGAGAGCTTTCTGCGTAGCTTAGCTTGTGATGGCTTCATCTATCATTGACTCTCAAACTGTCAGTGTTTTATTAATTTGTCATCTATGTTGTATTATAGGTGACGAGAAGTGTTGATACTGAGCGTGGCCAGCTTAGCCCACAGGAAATGAATACTGTTGAGGCCATTGTGAAAGCAAGGTAATTTGCAACTTGCTTGTTTCCTTAGAGACAATTTTGTCACCAACCACATTCAAATATGCTCCTTGTGGATTACAGTGAGTACCCCTTATCAATTGTTTTAGTGGGGGTTGGAGATGGACCATGGGACATGATGAGGGAATTTGATGATAACATCCCTGCTCGAGCCTTTGATAATTTCCAGGCAAGTGTAATACCTAGCAATGGATCTCACCTTTTTCTTATTTTCAAGCTATTATTGTTCTTATCTTATTCTCTACACTGCTTTTTTCCCTTTCTAGTTTGTAAATTTTACAGAAATCATGTCAAAGAATATGGATAGATCCAGGAAAGAAGCAGATTTTGCACTCGCAGCCTTGATGGAAATACCTTCTCAGTACAAAGCAACATTAGAGCTTAACCTATTAGGGTAACAAATGAATTTCTTTTGCATTAGCTATCATTAGTTTCCTATTATGTTAGGGGAATATTTTCATGAAATCTGTTAATCTGTTTTACGTTGTTCAAGCAGTGCACGTCGAGGTAAGGTTATAGACCGGGTTCCTCTTCCCCCTCCCCGATACGGTACTGCTTCTTTGGGTACATCAAAATTTTCACAATCTAGTAGTTTCGGTCCTACTGCACCTTCTTCTGATGGACATGGTTCAGTTGGCATGAATCGACCTGCAACTTCTGCTTCTGATAGTCATGTAAATACCCGCTTCCTTTCCTTGCTTATTTTTGGGACCTCCTAACCGTCATTGAATAATGTTTTGTAGTCATTAAGAAATGTATTGGCCATGGTTTTGCCTGGTCCTGAATCAATTTGAATTTAATGTTAATTTGTATTGATACTCTTCTGGCAGCTTTGTCCAATCTGCCTCACCAATCCAAAGAATATGGCATTTTTTTGTGGACATCAGGTACAAAAGTTATGCATTTCCATAATCCTTCTTGAAGATTAGATGGGAGGAAACATGTCTAAGTTAAAGTGTATTTCTTTTCAGACATGCTGTGATTGTGGGGAAGACCTTGAATTATGCCCCATTTGCCGAAGTGTCATCGAAACGAGGATAAAACTCTACTAAATGGCATTTGTTTTTTCAAGGATATCACAGAATTCTGATCGCAGCTTTGAACTGCAAGTTTCTTGCATGTGCCCTGATGACGGCTTTCCTGTTTAATATGGCTGGATTCTTCATGGATAACTTGAAACTTGGGGAGTGGGTACTCATAAGGTCTTGTGCTCTGTACATAAGCTTTTTTGGTGATCAATATAAGTTTTCTGTATTAAAATATAAGTCTATCTGATCTATCAGCTAGAAATCTGGGTCTAGGGCATGACTTTTTAGACACGAATATCATTAGATAGGAGTTATTGGACTGCAATTTCTTTGCTGGGTTACATTAATTTGAGATCTAAGTCATCACTTCTTGATAATGACAACCTACTGGTGAGGATTTGTATGGTAAGTGGTTGAAATGTATGCATCAATTGAGTTCTATTATATGTCAAATCAAGAGTGCATGTTTCTCTCTTTGTTAAATACTATTGATGACTCATTATGTAAGACTTTCATGAATAGAATTAAAAAAGAAAGAAAGCATACACATGTTCAATATATAGCTCTTTCCAATATAAAGCGGAACTCCTTCCATATTGTTAGCAGCAAATGAGAATTCTATGCGGGGCAAACATGGTTTATCGTCGTTGGTGAGCAAGGATTAGCCTTTAGAGTTAACAAAAGTCAATGCATGTATACAGATTTACAATAATTGAAGAGTATTTGAACCATATCTTAGTGGGGCCTTTGTCATGCCTAAAGCTCTCTTGGTCTAGTACCTTTTTTCCTCTTCTCCGATAGATACATTTTTTCTTTCACCTCTGAAAGAATCTGCTCAGGTAAGCTATTTATCAACTTAACATTGGATGTTACCGATCTTTCCATCTGATGCATATCTGCTGTACCTGATAAAACCGTCATGGCTTTTGATATTGTGTCTTCTGGTGGTGGAGGTCGTAGTAGTTGTAGTAGAAAATACACCCTCTTCTATAAGGCTGCTTAAGTGAAGCATTCGTGAGTTGTCCTGGGCCAAATGTGGCATACGAATTTGTTTTAGATAGTGAAAATGAGTGTGCTGCTGAAAAGGGCTATTGATTCTCTCTCTCTCTCTCTCTCTCTCTCTCTCTCTATATATATATATATATATATATATATATGATATATATGTGTGTGTGTGTGTGTGTGTTATTGGTTTCATAGGAATTTGTCCTATAAGAACACAAGTCGAATTATTCAGTCACCTCAAGCATTGCATTCACGGAGAGGTAAGTATTCTTCTCGAAGTTCATGAAGTTTACACATTCAGTTGATTTATGAGGTATATTATGTCAAATGATAACATGTTACACCTGTAGAGATTGTGTATATGCTCATGTATCTGCAAAGAAATGGTATTTCCTGACATTTTCGACGATAATCCGGACAGCAGAAATCGTAGTTGCTACTGCAAGGAGAGAGAACAGGATAATGTTTGTCCAGTGCCACACCTTCTTACCCATCTTTGCTGACTTTCCCTTAACCTGTGTTTGAGGAAACAAGAACGATTAATCGCATGTTTAGTTCTGTAAGTCCAATTTTTGTGACCCTTTGTATTTCCTTTCACAATTCAGTACAAATTTGGACTCTTTACCTTTATGAAGATCATGCTGGGGAATACAAACGTTAGAGGAACGAGCGCAAATGATCCGAGCAAGTTCAAAAAGTCCCCCATGAAAGGGAAAGCTGCAGTGACCAGTGTATTTCCTGAGAAGACGAGAGCTCGTAGACAACATAGGCGTTTGATGTTTTCCCTTGAATGCATGCTCTTATCAAGTTTTAGGAACTTCGTATCAAGGGCTTCATGAATTGGTGCGATGAACATCTGGGCTCATCTTTAATGCAGGAGTGTTAAAAAATTGCCATAGTTTCTGTAAATACTTACATGTATGTCAGCCATCTCAAAGGGTACAACTCGAGCGGGTTGGGCTGGCTAAGTTTCAGTCGATTTTCCTAGGAAAACATTGTCTTGGGACAGAAATTTTGTCAAGCGTAGACTTGACAAACGTGTCAGATGAAACAATTTCGTGTCGAGTAGAATGAGTTCGTGTTAAAAAAATTCTTTATCTATATCTCATTCATTTATATAAATGACTTTAACTATCACACCTATATACGACTCATTTATTAGACTGGTTATCCGACACAACCCGTGTGTTATCCATTAAATAAGAGAATCGGTTAGAGTATTTCGAGTCCACACAAAAAATATCAACACATTATATATGTTTGACTTGTTTATTATAACAATAAATCATGGCTGAGAAAAAAATATAAAAACAAAAAATTAATATTAAATTACTACTAAAGTCGAATAAGTCTGAAAAATGGGAGGCTTGAGATGAAGCAGATGCTAAGAGACTTTTTTTTTTTTTTTGGGAATTTATAGTCATAGTTAACGGATTAAAACGAGTTTATAGGTTAAACACAAAAACATTTCGTTTATTGTACGCATCTGACCAGTTAACTCATTAACACCCAAACCCGTAAAAATTACACCTAAATCAACTAAATTCATGTGGGTTTCATCAATCGTGTAAAGGATTGTCAGTCCTACTTTTAAGTTTGATCCTGTATAACCTCGAGCTTTGTCTGGTTCAAAGAGAGAGGTTTTCCTTTACCAGAACAACATGAAATTTAAGAAGGAAAACAAAAAAAAAAACAAAAAAGAAGAGCAGCTTACATGCTGGGAGATGATGGATTGGACAAAGACACCTGAGTTAATCAGAACCTTTACCCATCTGGGTCCACTCAGCTCTTGCGGGAGGTACTCAGATACTGTTGAACCATATGCCCAGTATCCTACTATGCTCACACCATAGTAAACTGCAAGCCCCCCACTGTATTGCATATACAATGCTTTCCTCATGTTTTCTACTGCAGGCCTGCGCAGGGTTGACTGCACATGTAGACAACCATATTAAGAAGTAAATACTAAAAAAAAGGGTCGTTCAGTGCACAAAATCTTCCTTGTTCGGACATGGTTAGATTTGTGTAGTTTTACCCAGCATGTGACCAAGACTTTTCTTAACTCAAACTGGTGACATTTACGTTTTTTTTTCGAATCATTTATTCTTGCAGTATTTGTAGAGGTCTTAACCTGTATCTCCAGCAGCAAGCCGGAGGTGTTACAGACAATTATGACTGATATTGCCCCAAAGGCATTGAATACCTTCCCCACTTTACTCCCACTGATCTCATAGTCTCTGTTTTTGTTAGATTTCCCTTCAGAAAAAAATGTATAGGGGTCAGTAGAAGTAAATGGATATGTTTTTAAATCATAGCATTTTCTAGAACAACCTTGACCTAATATTGTTATAAGTGTATAAGATCAGATTCTTGTAATGACCATGTTTTTGTTGCCTTCGGATGATCAATATGCATGATTTTTAACTCAAATCAGCCATGCGATGAACATCGCAAACAAATTTTGAGGCCTCTGCTAGTGAGGGGTTGAGGAGGGACGACGAGGTGATCATGAATTTCGATCCAAATCAACCCCCCGATATGAATCATACAGCCAACAATCAATCATGTCACCCAAGAAATACGACAACATTAACCTTGTCGACATGACAAATTAGAATTACCAATGCCTCGAAAACAAGAGGATACCTACCATCTCTCACTAGTAACACAAGAAGGATAGCAACATAGGCAAAGGTAAGGATGGTAGAGGCTCCCAACCATTTTGTCATTGCAGACATTGTTGGGACCAAAAATGCGAATATGAAGTAGGTTGCTCCAGTGATGACGATGAAATATTGGAGCCTCAATGGAGAATTACTGAACTGAGAATTGATTTCCTGTTTACATAAGGAAGAAAACAATGTATTGATTGATTACACAATAATAAATGTTCCAATAAGCATATACATATATTATGTTTATTGTCTCTTTTGTCGCTAGATATAAAAAAGTCGTTTCTTCTATTTATAGTGAGGTAAGGATACTGTCATACCTTCAGTGCCCTTCCTCCAAGAAGTATGAACCCCATGTTCCCAAGAAGGAGGGTCAAAAATTGGAAAACCCAAGTGATATAGAACAATTTTCTTCCTTCATAAGAAGAGACAAATCAGTCGACCCTTAGCTTTATTCATATTGTGTGAGAGTAGTGTGTCCTTTGTGAGGAACCTACCAAAAAGAAAGCCCATAAGATCTCTGTATCTGATGAACCTTTGACCATTGATGAAGTGAAATCCAGCCAAGAGCCAGTTAGCATAGGCAGTGTAGAGACCCACAACCACCAAGCTAATGATACCCCATGTCCAACCCAAAGGCACCAACATAAGGTTTGAAAAGCTCAGTATGTATCCACAGTTGAAGCTTGTTACCAGCATCAACCCAACTTGCCTCCATGAATCTACAGGAAACTCACAGAGTAATACTTCCAAATATGGATTAGACAAAAAATCCGGTACTTTTTTTTTTGGGGGGGGAGGGAGTGGGAGGAGGGAAAAGGGGTGAGGTTGGAATCTGCAATCACCTGTAGACGGGAGTAAGGCCTTACCATTGAGCCACTTCCTTAATTCAAAAAAACCCAGTATTCATTTTGGTTTTGAAGTCTTGTTTTTTGTCTAACAGATCAAATTAAGTTGGTGTCTTCATGGAAAGATCAAACAAAATGACTGTTTAATTGGCTATTGATGTTCAAAACTGAAATCTGAAAGAAAGAGTAAGGAACAAACCATGGTCAATGGTATGGGCAGAAGCAAGAGTATATTCCTGAACTTGACCATCCTTCACTGGACCTGGTTCAACACTTAGAGCTGCTTCAATGGTGATGTT